TGAACAAAGATACCTTTTAATATCAATTTTAAATGTTAATTATGGTATCTTTATATATTTATCAAACACTTTTATATATATTTACACACACATACATGAAAGAATGGACACAAATCGGATATCCGAGGTTTTGGAGGTATACGTGATCCAATATGTTTCATCTGAATAATCAATTATCCAATTCGATTTGATTCTATTCATATCCATCCAATATACAATGTCCTGAAAAATTATATTTTAACTGGTTTTGATTTGTAAAAATAAAGAGAGAATCTAAACTGATAAAATTTTTATATGAAAAATTATTTACTTTTTGAATACTAATACCTAATTTAATAAATTTATTAAATACAAATATTGTAAAACTTATATAGAATATATTATTTATATAATATATACTTCATTAAATATAAATATATATATATATATAAGCATATAACGGATCGGATCGAATATCTAAATTTTAAATATTAGTATTTGCGATTTGCTTCGTCTTTACGGATATTGCATATTAGTATTTGCTTTTCTTTGTAGAGTTACGGATATTCGGAATTTTTGTTCGTACACATTAACGTGAGCACCTATATACCTAAATATTCACTACAAGATATGATTCTAATTCTCTTGGAAGCTAAAATATTATTTTTAATGTTTCCATTCACTATCGACGAAATTGTAATTAAATGAATTTTCTTAGTAATTTTTTTTCTTTTTCTTCAATTATTATCTAGATTTGATTTTATTTTATTTTTCATGCCTTTGTAAACTATAATATGTAACCATTAATTTGACATCAAGACTGTTTAAAATTCATATAACATGAAACCAAAAAGAAAAAGTTTTGGTTACCATTAAAAAATCTAAAACCTCAAAAATTTTAACCGAATAAATAGTATAAATATTGGTTAAGAATAGTAATTATATTTTAATAGATTAAAAACCAAAAATATTAACCTAAAACTGAATTGATATCCAGATTAAACCTATGTTACATGGAAACGTAAGTAGATACGCGAAAACACAATTTTAGAAATATTTAGGAAACAAGATATGTGTTAGATAAAATATTTTAAATATTTAAATTCAGTATATAATTCATATACTATAACTCAAATAAAAATATGTATAATTACAAAGAACAAATATAACATAACATGTGTAAATCATATGTACAATTGTTTTAAAACTGATAAAATAAAGCATGAGAGTTAATTATTTCATACACACCAACTGATCATACAAACAATATGAAGCAAAAAAATTAAATGAAAAATCATATTAAAATTAGATTATTATTCAGAAACCTGAAGTTAGAATAGATTTACGTTCTTAGTGTTCAGCTCTATTGTTATTTATGAATTAAGATTTTAACAATAAAGTGAGTTAAATTTGCTACACATCAATTAAAATTTGCAAGTCCATAAGAATAATATTTCATCTGTTGTGCACATCAACAATACACACATATTTTGTGCACATCAATAATACAACCATCATCAAGCTTTGATCAATGACCATCACGCTTCCACCTATGAATCGTGTATTTTTGTCATGCTTCCAAACATCACAATTTTGGAAACGCGATTCCGTGACGATTTCATACGATTCTGAACGTTTCCGGTTCCAATTCTGCTTCAGAAATAAGAAACGCACCTCCATCGTCCATTCTGTATAATGTAGGATTAAACAGACAGAATATCTTCTTATCTAAAAAAAAAAAATATTAATCTCATTCTCTGCAAGGTGCGAATTATTACATAATATCTTTACTATTATAACAAAAGATTCTTTTAGACTCCATTGCCTATACTATTAGAATAAAAGACTTTTGTAGGCCCCCTTAGTTTTTAAAGCATTTACATCAATGTCGTTACTTTTAAAATTTTAAATCAATTCTAATGAATTATTGAAACTAAGCAACATAATATCCTATAACCTATATTTTGTTCATTTGTTCCTGATTTATCTACTTCTCAGCTTCGGTTCACATTATGTATATATAGGGTGATATATATATATATATATATATATATATATATATATATATATATATAGTTAATTACATACTATAATTATTAACACCCCAAGAAATATATGCATTATTAGATTTATATAGTCATGTAAGAATTAACCACATAATATACAGTAAAACTCTATAAACTAATATTTTTGGGACTACACTATTTTATTAATTTATAGAGTTATTAATTTATAAAATATTTCATTTTTTAGATTTTTTTCTATTTTCAAATATAGTTTTGATAAAATAAGAAAAATATTTGATTTTGTTGTTGATACATTAATTAAAATGTGACTGTATATACATTTTATTATATTATTTGATGTATATAAATATTTTTCCTATAATTTAAATGTGTATCCAAATATATTGAATATAAGAAAATATAAAGACTTCCATCATGAATATAAAACAAATAGATGATAAAAAAAATATAAAACAAATAAAAAATTGTTTGTAATTATTAAAAATATATATACCTTTATATTATTAATTTATGGTTTTAATGCGACCATATATATAGATTTTAAAAAGAATTATTATCTTATTATTTTCTTGATTTGTATTATATATTCTACCGACTCAACTTAAAACCAGAGAAATTTATTAATTTAACGTATTTATTAATGTATAGTATTAATTTATAATTTTTTTTACTGTACAACCAAAATATTTTTAAATTTTGTATTGTTACGTAAGCATTAGCCACATAACATTAATAACATATTAATATTTAATATCAACATTAAAACTAAAATAAATTGTTCCCTCCATAAATTTATATATGTTTTATATTAAATCACACAATATATTTGAAAATTTAATATTGATGTTATATTTACAATTAATAAGTAGACATTTTACAATTATGAATTTTTGGATTAATCCACTAAATATGCAAGTATTTTTCAACAAAAATGGTTGAACAAATAGATTTTTCATTTCTACCATGAACTAACAAAATTTAGTTGATATTAATAAAAACATATCCTAAATCTCTTAGCATGTAATTAAATGTATTAATATTAATGAAAGATCCCATAAATCTCTTAAGAGAAGCCATCAAAAACATAAATGTTTTATGTTAAATTTTAAAATATTAATATGAAATATATCAAGAGAGTTCTAATAAATAAGATGATGGTCAAAAGGAAAATATCATCTGGAACAGAGAAATGAGGGAGGTGGAAACCTTGACAGAGGATCTATGGACGATGGTATTTGAGAGATTACCGTTTAAGATATAATTTATTAAATATCATCCAAATAGATTGAATATAAGAATATATAAAAACTTTCATCATGAATATAAAAAAATAAACAATTGTTTGTTTGTAATTATTAAATATATATAATTCTAGATTATTAATTTATGATTTAATAAGACCATATATTTAGATTTTCAAAAAAAAATATTATCTTATTATTTTGTCGATTTGTGTTATATGTTGAGCCAACTCAACTTAAAATCAGAGAAATTTATTAATTTACCGTGTTTATTACTTTATAAATTTTCTACTGTACTACCAAAATATTTTTAGATTTATATTACGTAAGCATTAGCCACATAACATTAATAACATATTAATATTTAACATGAACATTAAAACTAAAATAAATTGTTCCCTCCATAAATTTATATATGTTTTATATTAAAACCATCACACAATATATTTGCAAATCTAATATTGATGTTAGATTTAAAATTAATAAGTAGACATCTTACAATTACGACTTTTTGGGTTAATCCACTAATTATGTAAATATTTTTCAAGAAAAATGGGTTGAACAAACAGATTTGTCATTTCTCCAATGAACTAACAAAATTTAGTTGATATTTATAAAAATATCTCCTAAATCTCTTAATATGTAATTAAATATATTAATATTAGTGAAAGATCCCCTAAATCTCTTCCGTACTAGAGAAGCTATCAAAAACATAAAGTTTTTTTTGTTAATTCTAAAATATTAATATGAAATATATTAAGAAAATTCCTATAAATAAGATGATGGTCAAAACGGAAAAATGCATCTGGAACATAGAAAAGAGGAAGATGGAAGCCTTGACAGAGGATTTATGGACAATGGTATTTGTGAGATTACCAATTACGATATAATTTAGTAAATATCATCCAGATATATTGAATATAAGAATATATAAAGACTTTCATCATGAATATACAAAAATAAAAATTGTTTGTTTGTAATTATTTAAAATATATATACTTCTAGATTGTTAATTTATGATTTTAATGGGATCATATATTTATATTTTTGAAAAAACGTTTATTTTTAGTTTACCGTGTTTATTAATTTATAAATTTTCTACTGTGCTACCAAAATATTTTTAGATTTATATTTTGTTTACTGTTTTTATTAACTTATTGAGTATTAATTTATAATTTGTCTACTGTGCTACCAAAATATTTTTAATTTTTTATTGTTACGTAAGCATTAGCCACATAACATTATTAACATATTAATATTTAACATCAACATTTAAACTAAAATAAATTGTGCCCTCCATAAATTTATATATGTTTTATATTAAATCACACAATATATTTGCAAATTTAATATTGATTTTAGATTTACAATTAATAAGTAGACATTTTACAATTACAACTTTTTGTGTTAACCCACTAAATATGTAAATATTTTTCAAAGAAAAATGGGTTGAACAAATAGATTTGTCATTTCTACTATGAACTAATAAAATTTAGTTGATATTAATAAAAACATCTCCTAGATCTCTTAATATGTAACTAAATATATTAATATTAATAAAAGATCCCCTAATTCTCTTCCATAATAGTGTAGCCATCGAAAACATAAAGATTTTTTGTTATATTTTTAAAAATATTACCTTAGTCAAAAAAAAAAATTTAAAAAATATTAATATGCAATATATCTAGAAAGTTCCTATAAATAAGATGATGCCCAACCGGAAAAATGCAACTGTAACAGAGAAAAAAGGGAGATGGAAACCTTGACAGAGGATCTATGGATGATGGTACTTGCGAAATTACCGATTAAGATTTTCACTGGTTTGAAACTTGTTTGCAAGCAGTGGAAATCAGTTTTGGAGTCTCCTTTTTTCCGTGACATTTTCCTGTCCCTGCGTCCAAACCCGCCCTCTTCTTCATGGTCGCTCATGTCCACCCTTGAAGAAGATCCAGAGATAGTAAGTCACTACCAATGCGACACATGGGGACTTGATCGATCTTTGGGCTCTTTCATCGAGTCTTTCCTAGCCGACAAACAACAGAAGCACAAAGACCAACGAGTCAGTGTCGAGGCTTACTCGGATGTTGGGTTGATTTTGCTCCATGTAGAGTCAACCAACACGGAGAAGGGAGTCATCTACGTGGCTAACCCTGTTTCACGGGAATGCGTAGAAATCTTTCATGATGCTCTTCCTATAGGGTTTGAAACGAATGAATCTTCCTGGGATTGGGGACTTGTCGCACGAACCGAGAACGGCCACCTTTTGGATTACAAGGTTGTCATCCTTGAGAAATATAAGTGGTGCTTTGAGATGTTAAGTTGTCTTATATATTCATCTGAGACAGGCTTGTGGAGTCTCGAAACTTTACATATTCCTCACTCTTGCCTCATCCGTTATCCTGGGTATCCCATTAGCTTGAACGGTAATCTTCACTGGTTTGGCCGGAGCACGGACCGTCATAGAGTTCTAATATCCATGGATATTTATACTACTAGCATCATGGGGTCTGTTCGATGCCGTGTTACGCCTTTCCCTGACATAGAGAAAACTACCAAGTTTGCAAGAGCTTGCACACCTTGTCAAGGATTTCTCATGTATATGAACATCGTTTCCGTAACCAAAGTGGATGGAAGCCTAGACAATAAGTTGTGTGTATGGAGGCTAATGAGCGAGGGATGACAACTAATGTCTGAAATCTCCGCAGATTTTATCTTGAACGGTGGTTTTGACTATTTACCAGTGACGATAAACCCCTTTGATGCTAAAACAGACTACTTTTGGAGCAAGGAAGGACAACGCTTGGTATCTATCAACTTACACAACGGTGAGCTTATGATCCACAACAATCAGTTGGATGGTAGAAGCGACGGTCCCATTATAATTCCCGTTAAGGACCCGAGAGCTATGATTTCTCTCGAAAGCACGAGCTATATGGAATACATCAACACAGCAAACCTTGACCCGTTCATTCTCCCACAATGGCTACATCGGATCCCGGTGAGTATTAAACAGCCAACAACAACTGATCAGCAACATGAGTCAAAGGATATTCCCTCCCAAAAAATTGTGCACGGAAAAGCAGTGACTACTGCTATAAGTACTGATGGAGCGTCAGCAATTGAGCTGTGAAATCCATTTGCAGCCCTTGATTGCATGAGTGATTCATGATTTATAAAATGTTGCATGGTAAGCCTTTTTCCAAAAAATAAAAATAAAAATAAATGTTGCGTGGTTTTATATTGAGAACGAGATAAGAATGAAACGTTATAACAAACAAATTTCGTTTTCTTCATTCAAACCTATATATGTTTCTTTCAGTGAGAAGTGTTTAGATTTGATATTTGTTGGACCTATTTTGTTTTCTTATTTTGGGTGACTATTGTTTGTTCCTTATGCAAGATAAATAAGTCTTGAATATGTGCTTAGTGTTAATATGTACATACTCTAGTTTATATGGCCCTCAAACCCTACCAAAATATATGCATGGATCTTTAGTAGAAATGGATAAGAATGCTCAAACATATGATATATTGAAGATACCAAAATTTGTATTCGTTATTTTAAGATCGATAAATATTATAGTGTTACAAAATGTTAAAATCGAATAAACATTAATATAAAAAACTGACTCCACACATAAGCGCGGATATCATCTAGTGTTAAGTAAACACAAGCAAGTTGAAACTGGGCAAATGCACCTGCATTATAATACAAAAAAATATTTCATGTAAAGTAACATTTTTATCTATGAGGAATAATTAAGATTCAGTAAAAACGTAACAATTAGCATTACATCATAGTTATTGATTGAATAATTTAGCAAAGCGGTTCATGGTCTCCTTTAAACAAGCCAACCAACCAGTCTTCTTTAATCTCTCATACCAAGACACAGATTTTAAACAAAAGAAGGCAAGAACCACCAAAGAACTGTGAAAGTTCAAGAAACAATTAATAGTTTGATCACAAGCTTTTCTTGCATGATTGGATATATCTTAATTCTTAAAAACACAATCCTTTAATCTCCTCTTAAATACCCCTTCAACAAGTCTCTTCTCCTTCATCCCAAAACCAACTCATCATTCTCGTATCAACAACATTTTGTCTCCAATGGCTTCTTTTGCTCTGTTTATTTTCACTCTCCTTGCCATTTTAAGTAAGTCTCCTTGCACTTATATACATTATAATCCATTGATCAAAGACACTTTCACTTACCATAAATCTTGTCTTTTTTTTTTACAGGTTCATGTAGCTACGCAATTGGGATCAACAACAAAACATTGTTATCACTTGCAAGCAGGATTGGGATCAACTACGGAAGATTAGGCAACAATCTCCCATCTCCTTACCAATCTATCAACCTCATCAATTCCCTTAAAGCAGGTCACGTTAAGCTTTACGACGCTGATCAAGAAACCCTAATGCTCCTCTCTCAGACCAATCTCTACGTCACAATCATGGTCCCTAACAACCAAATCACTGCACTCGGCGCTGATCAAGCCGCCGCAGACAACTGGATCACCACCAACGTCCTTCCTCACTACCCACAAACAAGAATCAGATTCATCCTTGTCGGAAACGAGATCCTCAGCTACAACTCGGACCAAGACAAGCAAATATGGGCGAGTCTTGTCCCAGCCATGCGTAAGATCTTGAACTCTCTTAGAGCAAGAGGCATTCACAACATCAAAGTCGGAACACCACTCGCCATGGATATTCTCCGGTCGAGTTTTCCTCCGTCCAGTGGTGCATTCCGGGAAGAAGTCGCCGCTCCGGTGATGTTACCGTTGCTGAAGTTTCTCAACGGTACAAACTCTTTCTTCTTCCTTGATGTCTACCCTTACTTCCCTTGGTCCGCTGATCCGGTTAACAACCATTTGGATTACGCTCTGTTCGAGTCGAATTCAACTTATACCGACCCGCAAACCGGTTTGGTTTACACCAATCTATTAGACCAGATGCTCGATTCGGTTATCTTTGCCATGACCAAGCTCGGTTATCCCAACATCCGTCTTGCAATTTCTGAAACCGGGTGGCCTAACTCTGGTGATATAGACGAAACCGGAGCTAACATTCTCAATGCCGCAACTTATAACCGGAATTTGATCAAGAAGATGACTGCTAACCCACCACTCGGTACACCAGCTAGACGCGGTTCACCGATACCGACGTTTTTGTTCTCATTGTTCAATGAAAACCAGAAACCCGGTTCAGGAACAGAGAGGCATTGGGGGATTTTGAATCCTGATGGTACACAGATATATGAAATTGATTTTAGTGGAACAAGACCGGTTTCTAGTTTCGGTTCGTTGCCTAAACCAAGTAACAACGTTCCGTTCAAGGGAAATGTGTGGTGTGTGGCGGTTGAAGGAGCCAGCGAGGCCGAGTTAGGGCATGCGCTTGACTTTGCTTGTGGAAGAAGCAATGCCACATGTGCAGCTTTGGCGCCTGGAAGAGAGTGTTACGCACCGGTTTCGGTTACTTGGCATGCAAGCTATGCGTTTAGCTCGTACTGGGCTCAGTTCCGGAACCAAAGCTCCCAGTGCTACTTCAACGGCTTGGCGCGTGAGACAACGACCAACCCTGGTGAGCTTTTAAATATATTTGATTACTTGTCTAACAAGAAAACCCAATAAATACGAAATTACTCTCCACTGTAACTGCGGTTTCCTTGTAAAGCCAATTCTTAAATTATTTAATAATCTGTGATTTTGATGACTTTTTCTACAGGAAATGAGCGCTGCAAGTTCCCTAGCGTTACCCTGTAAGACTACCTTAAGAGTCAAAACTAAGGCGTATGGAGAAGGATCGAAAGCTGGATCATTCGTATTAAGTCAATCTTGTTCTTGATAATTATTAATTTCCTTATTATTCCAAGTTTGTACTCCTTTGTTTCCTATTGTTGAGAAAAATCGAATAAACAATGAAAATTTTTCACTAGCTAATATTTTGAAGCGAAGATTGAAGAAAATAGAGGAAATGATATGACAATGGAAAGGATGTCAACAAGAAAAAAATATGACAATGGAAAGTAACCAACTGAACCAATGCACATACTCTATACAACGACAGCTAACTCTTGTTAGTGTCAGCGTTTATGATGATGAATTTGCTGGATCAAATTCTCTAGTGACACAAGTGAATTTATTTTTTTCTCTCGTGACCCTATCACAATTTCTTTTTATTAATCATTTAAATTTAAATACAAAAGAACTATAAATAACTAAAAAACCAGAAGACTTTAAGTATTTACGATCCGCGCCACTACTATCCTACCCGATCCGACTCTTAACCCGACCCAACTTGAACCCTAGATCTACATTTCGAAACAGAACTTCCCCACTCACCCCACTTACGATTTTGAACTTGTAAAATCGCCATTAAAGCTTCAAAAAGGGCATCTAAACAACAATTGACAGAAATGAAGAAGAAGAAAACTCTACCAAAAAAGAAACAGAACGCTCCACCGGCGAAGAAGAAAAGGTCGTCTCCGGCAGAGGAACACGCAGCAGACAATGGTGGATCGTCGTCTCAGCCTAATAAGCGGCCCCGCCGTTCTTCAAACCCTAATCCTAAAAATCTTCAACGAAATCAGAGAGGAAATCTGAATACTTCTCCTGTTCGGGGCTCTGCCTCTGCATCTCTTACTCCGGCCGCTGCCTCCGCTTCTCCTATTCCGGCCGTTGCCTCCGCTTCTCCACCAGCGAACAGACAAATCTCTCCAAATAGAAACCCACAAGATCATCCCGTTACATCTCTGTCTGTTTCTAATTCCGGGTCTTCCACTAAGGGCGGGACACCTTCTTCTGAACAAGGAGACAATGAGGAAATTGGGGATTCGAGGGAATCGAGGCACGGTGACCCTCGCACATCTGAAGAACCACCTAATGCTACAGAAGAGCAAAGAATGGTAAGAAATAAAACCAAAATTCATTTTTGTAATATGGTACAACTAGGATATATATTGTATATAGTTGAACTAGTAGAACTAGTAGAACTTAAAGGAAGGGAGTTTGACTTGTACAACTGAAATAAGGTTAACTAGTATTACTAAAACAACTATAAAATGTAAAATTGTTTAACTTTGACTTATCTAACTAGTATTACTTGTATCACTCGTACAACTAGAACCTATTAATCTAGTATTACTTGAACAACTGTTAAATAATAACTAGTATTACATGTACAACTGTTAAAGAATAACTAGTATTACTTGTACAACTACTGTGTGTATTACTTGTATAACTCGTACTACTAGTATTTATCTAATTATAATTGGAATATGTAAAACATGTATGACTCATACAACTAGGACTTATCTAACTAGTATTACTTGTACAACTACTGTGTGTATTACTTGTATAACTTGTACTACTAGTACATATCTAATTATAATTGGAATATGTAAAACATGTATGACTCATACAACTTGGACTTATCTAACTAGTATTACTTGTACAACTGCTATGTGTATTACTTGTATAACTCGTACAACTAGGACTTATCTAATTTTAATTGGAATATGTAAAACATGTATGACTCATACAACTGGGAGTTATCTAACTTGTATTACCTGTACAACTGTTAAAAAAAAACTAGTATTACATGTACAACTGCTTTATACTAGTATAACTCGTACAACTAGGAGTTATCTAATTATAATTGTAATTTGTAAAACATGTATCACTCGTACAACTAGGACTTATCCAACTAGTATTACTTGTAAAATTGTTAAACAATAACTAGTATTACTTGAACAACTGGTATATATATTACTTGTATAACTCGTACAACTACGACTTATCCGACTAGTATTACTTGTAAAACTGTTAAACAATAACTAGTATTACTTGAACAACTGGTATATATATTACTTGGATATATGGTCCTGGAGTATGCCAATGTCCACTGCTCCATCCAATAATACTTAGAACAATAATTTGGAACCACCTCCTCCAGCGTATCATATGTGGTAGTTTTGCAATGCTTCATGATAGCAGCAAGTGCATGCACACAAGGATACCGGTCAATATCAAATTCCTTACAAGAACATCTTTTGTTGATCAAATAAACCAAATAACCTTTCCCGTCTGTACCAATAACTTTGTACAGCCGCTCAAATGTGTTTAGCA